AATATTGGAGAATCAAGGTAGTGAACTAACATGTACACATGATGCCAAGAATCTCACCCGAGACCCCAGCTGTGGTTATAGGAGAGTTCACTACCCGGAGCTAGCTACGCCATCTTGCTTGATTTTACCCTTGTGCGTGGAGTTTGCCTAATGGTCGTGGGTCGTGGGTCGTGGGTACGAAGTCGTGGGTCGTGGGTATGAAGTCGTGGGTCGTGGGTATGAAGTCGTGGGTTCCAATTTTTTTCCAAATTTATCATTTATAAATTTAATTTTATCACTATACTTCCAAAACAAGATCGTGTGGCTTTGTTCCTATAAATTCGGTGTAATTGTGGGTTGTGCAAGGTAGTCTGTGTCCGATTTGCGTGACAGTGTTATAAAAATACACCAAAATTGGTGGCCTGGAAAACCTTTTAGCACTTTCTTACATTTCATTTAAGTATATTGGCCTTGCTGTTTAAACATAAATTTAGCAAAGAAAAAAAAAAAAGAAGAAGAAGAAAGGAAAAACCAAACAAACAAAAACCACTAGTCGTCTACCTTGTTCGCTTAAACGAGGAGTCGTCTTCGATGGACTTTATCTGGATGTTACCTAGAAACTGGAGCGACAAGCCGCTGCAAACGTGTGAAGTCGATGGACAGCAAATTCGCGTTTAGTTCGGCATTACGTTTCTCCTCGTTCTATGTGTTTCGTTGCGAGAAAGCTTGTTTCTGACTATTTCTTAGTAGTTCTCTTTGTGTTAGAATGGAAATCCTGAGTAAATGACTTGAAAGTGCGGGGTTTACCGTTACCTACGACTCCAAGGTTGATGAGGACTGCTTTTATGCAGCGGCAGCGTATCAGTTGGGCTTAAATACCAAGAAGGTCAAAGAAGTTATATTCAGTAACTTAGAGAAGAACCAATTTGATGTAAGTATAATCAAAACGATGTTTTATTCTTGATTTTGCGGGTCCATACCTAAATTATAAGGAAAGTAGAAATTCGAATAGAGTCAGCTCTTTAAAAAATCATGTCCACCAACTACATGGAATGAATAATCGCCGGTTTAGGAGATTGCAACACGTGTCTCCATCTTCATCTTCATCACCAGTCTCAAACCTTATATTCAGTTTTATTGGAACCAAATTTTAATTTTATGTCCTAATGTATACGAGAGATCTAGTATCTTTTCGTATTGGGTGCKACTGGAAAGAGCCTAGCTATGCAATAGATTGAAATATCACTCTGCATGGCTCACGGTGTGTGGACACTACAAAATTTTTTATGAATTTCGAATCATTCTCAACACACTTCTACTTCGATCGCTTTTCGCATAGTCTATTTTTGCTTCTGATTGTTGGTGTAAAGTTTATGGAAATATCTGATAAGATGCTCCTCTCGTTTTCTATTATCACGCCAAAACTCAAAATATTTGCTTTTAACTACCAATGACAAACAGGGAATACTAATTCGTTTCTTTATGTTATATAGAGCTCTAAAGTTGGTCGAGTATGACTATATTCTAATAGACGATAGGCCATTCATAGACGGGTATACTTCTAAACAGATCTGTTTGGACGTCTTCGGTCGGCCTTTTGTTTTGGTTAAAGTGGCAAAAGCTCTTGACAAGCAGCAGTTCAAAACAGCGTCAAGTGTTTRCTTGAACAAATTGAGAGTTGTCAACACCTTTTTGATTAAAGACCTTGTGTCCGAATTGCGTGACGTTGAACAACGTATTAGTGAACTAAATACTTGAAATATACGTTGATTTCAATCCTGCGCATTCTCTATTTAAAGTCAATTAGTCCTTTGTAATACCAAGGCATTGAAAAGCACCCTAAAAGTCGTGCTTTAGTTTCTGCCCATATTTAAAGGCCAAATAGACACAGACTACCTTGCACAACCCACAATTGCACCGAATTTATAGGAACAAATCCACACAATCTCGATTTGGAAGTATAGTGAAGAAATGATAAATTTGGGAAAAAAATTGGAACCCACGATTTCGTACCCACGACCCACGACTTCGTACCCACGACCCACGACTTCGTACCCACAACCCACGACCCACGACCATTAGGCAAACTCTGGTGCGTGGCCGAGGGAGGAAACCATCTAATGTATAGGACAGGAAATAATTGAAAGCCGAACTATACTCACGTACGACAATCGCGCGCAAAGGATGCTGGCTGAATGAAATTCTTTATCAACATTCTTTATTTTCTTATACTAACAAGAGTGTAGACAAAAAACATGGCAATAACTGAGAAATCTAAGTTGTTCATGCTTAATTAGCTAGTACTATTTTGACGTACAATAGAAAACAAAGGGTTTGTTACTATTTATGTTAAGCTGGCGATACGCGCTGCAATTTTTCTGGCGCTGGCAATGCAATCTCAATTTTTCCGTTGCATTGCCAGCGCGAGACACAATTTCAGTGTGTATCATGCCCCGCGACTTTGACGGCAACGATGTCTAGCAACGCAAAAATTGTTGCAGAACATCAAAAAGTTTGAACTTTTCTTTGCAAAATTTCCGGAATTGCACGCCTAAAAATAGCGAAAACTAAAAATTGCAGCGTCTATCACCCATGTTTACTCGCAAAGCAATAATCCTATTCAGACTAGCCAATCAGGATTTTATACTGATTTTACCTTAATTTTAATATGGTAGACGCTGCAATTTTTCGCTGCAAAATGATAACGTTACCAGAAATAATTGCGCGAGAAAAAATTGCGGCGTGTATCGGCAGCTTTATAGTTTCCAGTTTACCGTGAAGTGATATCGTATCACTTCACTGCTATGGTTTTTGCACGGCTTTACCACACGATATCGACCCTAAATTTCAGTAATAAAGTAAAGTAACTTATTTCATACTCTCTTGGGCTAGCTTTTTTCTAAAACCCCAATGTCATCCTGATTTTGGGGACTCATCATTAATTTGATTTTACTATATATGACGTGGAGGAAAACTAAATGCGCAAAATGATTACGGGAAGCCAAAAAAGGTGATAAATCACTTTAATTTAAGTGTCTAGTCGTTCTAGCGATTTCGCACTATATAAATTGGGACACTTTTCGCTCACACACACTGCCACTACATTAAATGTTTTATGCACACAAAGCTCAACTCACATGTTGATTTCTAACGTGCCTATCCCTATCACCACAAACGGATCTTCTAACTATACGTCATTGACGTGGGAAAGGGAGAGGAACAGATCAGAGTTAGAAAAAAAAGAAACGCAACGGCTCGCTCTGTTTTATAAACGTCGATTTAATGCATCCATTTTTATATGTGCTACTAGCTCATTTGCTTTTCCTACCATTAAAATGACACCTGTTTATAATTGGTGAGCAACAATGCGTTTTATACTAGTCATTGATACTCCATGTTCCTCCAGGCTAAATTTTAACACTCCGCCGAGCTGACGTGTGTTGCTAGGGATTATGAAGTATACAGGATGAGCTATGACATTGAATGGGTAATAAAATATATGCACATCGCATAACGAAAAAATCTAAATCTGCGACCTTCAATTGCATGCGCTCGAATAGTTTGGACTTGACCAAAAACTGATAACAAAGCCATAACTTGTCCGATCGAGTCTCACCACGAGTTTGCGCGACGTGAAGTATCAAGAGGGTCTTCCATCCTGTAGTAAAGCGCTGCTTTGTTAATAAAGTCCATTGTTTTGCATTTGCTATTAAAGACGGTAGCTGAGCGTAGTCGCGGCATGATCGCCTAATCTGGATACAACTTCCTATACCCCCCTATCTTCGAACATCAAAATACCATGAAAGTCCAGTCATTGAATCATATGAACCATCACGTCTGATTTATGTAACAGTTTCAACTTAAAAAGTCTCCAAAAGTAGCCGATAAGACAAAGTCCAAGTCCAAACAAGATTATCCTGGATACCAAGATGTGAATACCAACTTAACTTTGCGCGCTAAATTTATGGTTCTTCGTACGACGATGAATCAAAAATAATAATACTTTATGTTCAAATTCAAATACATGACTGAAATTAGAATAAAGTGGACCTTGAGGTTATATACCCTATATACAAGTCCCCTGATATTAAAACTACATAAATAACTATATAAATGAGATGAATAACAATTTAAGTAAGACGACGTATAAATTCAGGGAGATATGGCTTACGCATCAATTATTTTGTAGTTGTTTTCCCTCATTGTTACCTTATACTTTAATCCCGAAAAAGGGGCGTTAAGAAAACGTTAGATACGAGAGCCGGCGTCGAAAAAGATCCCATTTTATTGAACAAGAAATTTTATAAAAAAGACTGAAATTGTATAGAATTATTTTAAGCTCATTTAATTTCTGATGGAAAGTGTTTTTTATTTTTTAATATTTATTTTAAATCGTTTTTTAAAGTTGTATTTGCATCGTAATAGTGATTCGTGAGCCAAAGTTTTTGTGACAATCACCGTGTTCGATTAATGCGTTTTTAACAGACCCAACGTATGCATGGACGGAAAGAGCCATTCACCCGTGTACGCACGAAATGATTAAGGTCAAACTCAACGGTAGTTCTAGAATAATTTTCAATTGGTACCTGATAACACGAGAGTATAACAAGTGCATTGACACCAATGCTTTGATGTCAAACGCTTGCTACTTCCTTGAATCATTGAAGAAACGATTTTTCAGTAGCTGAGAAGCCCGCGTGAATAGTATATAGTTACCTCAAACTGAAATGTTTTTCAAAGGCGAAATTACTTTGTAACGTAAATTTACCAGAAAAATCCTCCATTTTTCCATTATTTCGTCTTTTTCTAAAAAAAAAAATTATTATTTTTCTTCTGTATCATCCTCTTTATTACGTAGCAAATTTTACAACTTTTTTTACAACTACAATCACCCATCTGCACAAGAACGAGGCTACAAATGCTCGGGAACGAGGCTTGTCTATTGTTTTTTGATTGACATAAATTAGCATATTAATTGAGCAAAGCCGCAATGCATTGCGAGTTGGGGTTGGGCCCCCCCGCGCTGTCGAGCCGTCGCTAGTTGCGCTTCAAGGCATTGACAGAGCGAACATTTCAGAACCATTTTTACCTCAAGGTTTTTCCTTCTAATTTGAGGTCTAGGAGTGGGTTTAACCAGGGAATTATAAAGAAAGAGCATTTCTTCTTCGTTCGAGATCGCTTGGAGAGACTTCAAGGTCATCCATGTGCCGTTTTGTGTAGTTCGTGTGTCATACTGCCCATCTGAAGACGACAATGGTGAGCGGCCATGATTTTTGTTTTCATCTCTGCTCAAAACTCATCGTACGTGTGGAGATTCACCATTGAAAACCTAACAGACTTACAAATTTTCGAGTTTATAACTCTCTCTACTGGATTTGATTTCAGGTAATATGGCTAGTCTTCTAGTTTTATTGCGATGACTATGTATGATCAACAAGTCGTTTTCCTGTAGTGGGGTTTGTATTGTACCGTAGTAGTAATGGCCGATCAACTGGTGGACGGGCCACCGAATAAACGGCAGAAGTTGACTACGCCGGATACTCCGACCGAAAATGCAGGTAAGTAAAACTTCAAATAAGCAGTAGAAAACGCTATGTGTATTTTCCACCTCCTCTTGCTAATTTCGAAAAGATCTTACTCAAATTTACCTTCCATTTAAAGACATTGGAAAAATTCTCGACGACCTGGAACAAAGTTTACCAGAAGAACTCATGGGTCCGGGCTCGATTAACAGTTTGGATGGACTTGCAAATGGAGAAACAGCTGATATTGCTACGAGCTCTCCGAGTTTACAGCATGTGTTGCAGTCTAATTCGGATGGTCTGACAAGTAGCGCATGTACGACATCGTTTAGTTCCAACAGCATCACTTGCTCGGCTAGCATTTCGAGTCCAAACAGTCCTTCACTGACAACCCTTACTCCCGCTAAATCCCCGGCGATGAACTATGCCATGTCTTCACCACCTTCAATGCCGGTTAGCACATCGGGAACTCCGACTCCAGCAACTCCTCTTACTTCCAGTGAACACTATCTTTCTTCGGGAGCTGTTTCTGCTCCTCCATCGTACTCCGTTACGTTGTCAACAATGAGTTCCGCGATGCAACAAGCAAATATGGCGAACAGCTTTTCCCATGGACAGTATAACATGATGGATATGAATGCTTTATCGAATGAAATGATGGCTTCACTAAACGGTCCAAGCGTTGGAAACAATATGAATTCTATGAACTCAGTTCAACGTAATGGCCCTGGGAGTTATGGCCGCTCTAACTCCAACTCGATGGGCATGAACATGAACGCGTCTAGTACTGCGGCGAACGCTTATTCATTGAATCAAATTCAGACAGAACCACTCTCGATTAAAATGGAACCAAACTTTATGACAGCGCAAGGATTAAATGGCAGCCTTGATTCTGCTAGGAGCTTACAAGGGAATCAGGTAAGCTAGTTTTGAGCTGTCTTTCATTTTTGACTTTTTTGCCGCCATCAACAACCCGCGAGCAGGTTATAATATCGGTCAGTTTACCATTTTTTTCGCCATGAAAATCGTATCAAGTTCACCAAGGTTCAGTATTGGAGAAATTTTCTATTGAGTTTAAATAATTGTTTATTGTCTTGACAAGTTAATGTTTTAAAGGATAAGTTAGCTGTAATTTTGGTTCATCTTCATCACATGTCTTGAAAACTGCTTTGCTGGCTTTCTTGTTTTGATGTGATGCCTTGAGAATCGAAGGTGAACAGTCAGACATTACTTTTGTATGCAAAAGTTGCCTGAATGCTCTAAAAAAATTCAAAGTCAAACCCTGGGGAAACTCCAAAACATCAGTTGAAATTCCGAGATATACGATTGTTTTTGATCTGACATTAATACTGTAGCCTTTGATTCACTTTTTTTTCTATGCGATGGTAAAATTTTACTTTTACACTAATTTAAAGGTACGCATTTTTTTCTTTCGTCCTGTGTTAGCGACTCATAAAACCTATTAAAACCGAATCTTTTACTGTCGTAATAAGTCTTATAAATCTCATTGCTTCACCTAAACTTTCGTAGCATAAATAGCTGTATCCTCGTATGGTTTGTAATAAAGAAAGGGAAAAATTGGCTTATTTTTCTCGTGTGTTGCATAGGAACTTACACGATTCGAAGATTTTTGACAAAGACGGAAGTAGTGTCGTAATCTGTGAATTTTCCCATAAACTCCTGTAAACTCAAGTGAGTCTGCATTGCGGTAGTGTTGATTTTTGGGTTGAATTCTTTATAACAGAGAATTTAATTTTCTTGTTCTTTATTTTGATTTGTAGTAGCTTAGTAATCTTGATCTGTTGTAGTGCTGTATGGAAAGCCTCGTTGATATATATTATAGTGCTTTGTGACAGTGGGTTTGCTGGGATTTGACTTGTGTACTTATTCTGGGTCAACGCTAAAACACTGACAGACTAGGATTTACAGTACTCCACAAAACTTGTGATTATGCTATCAACATTCACATTAAGAAAATTAAACACAAGAAAAAGAAATAGTGATGGTGCTGATCCTGTAATAAAATTTCATGTTTCAGACTAAGAAAATTCTTGTGCATTAATAGGGTTTTTATTCCGTGTAGATTTAACATATTACCAGATCTTATAACAAATGAACTTTTCATTTTCAACCGAAATCTAATATGTTTATCCTCTAAGCAATAAAATATATAAAAGCAATTTGAATTTTTATATTAAAAGAATCAAAAGTAATAGGCAGATGAAAGAATACGTAAATGTTTATGGAGTCCTGTAAATGTTTCTGACTTTTGAGATCTTGGATTCTAAGACTCACTCTGTTAAATTACATACCTATGTTTTGATTGAGAAAAGCTACATTATATCTTGGGCTAAAATAAAGATAATAGGAGAGAAAAAGAAGAAGAGAACCCTAATAAATAAAGAACCTTAGCAGTGAACATGACTTATCTGAGAAAGCAAAAGACTGAGTCTCCCATTTTGTTGTTCATTTTGCAGTAAGTTTGATGTGATTGCTTTGATTTTTCCCCAAAAATATAAGTTACTGTGTTCCTTCCTTGCAAGCAATTTTAACAAATTTATTGTCATATTGTATAAGCAAATGAATCTGTTAGCTGTCATTGTACATACAGTTAAATGTAGTAGTTCCTGGAAAAGGTGTATTAAGATTGAAAGTATACATGTCTTATCTAGTTAATTGACTATTTGTCAATTATGAATGCTTTTTGCTCATTGTAAAAAATATTATTATTATTATAACAGTCTACTGGGCTTCCAAATACTGGAAATGTAGGAAATATGAATTCTTCACAGCCACCCACAGCAGATCCTGAGAAAAGAAGACTAATTCAGCAGCAACTTGTACTTCTTCTACATGCTCACAAATGTCAACGGAGAGAACAACAAGCTGCTAATGGAGAAATGAAGGCATGTAATCTTCCGCACTGCCGAACTATGAAAAATGTGTTGAATCACATGACTACTTGTACAGCAGGGAAAACATGCCAAGGTAAGGAATCCACCTTTTGAATTTTGGATTTAAATAAGCTCCAGTTGTCAGGTCAGATGATACTTTAGGTTATGTTTTTAATTTTGGTTACAACTAATATTAAAAGTAAAATTATTGTTGGTGTATATTTTTTACATCTCGACTCTTATCAGTTACATTATCTATACTCATTAAACCATACAAGTCTAAAATAAAATAAATTATTATGTTTAGGAATTCCTAAGGTTGAAACTTTTTTGAAATTAGTTAGAATAGAAATCATTTCATAAATCAAAAAGAAGGAAAGTGACTTTGTAAAAATGCTGAATTTATTGCATTTGTTGTAGTGGCACATTGTGCATCTTCACGACAAATAATTTCTCATTGGAAAAACTGCTTGCGCCAAGACTGTCCGGTGTGTTTACCCCTCAAGCATGCGTCAGACAGGAGAAACCAAGGTCTGTAAGATTGCTATTCTGAAATTTCTTTATAAAAAAACACTCCAGAATTGCATGAATTTTGATCTTCAAGAAATCTAAGACACAGTTTTAGAGAGTTTGTTTCATTTGGAAGATTAATTAATGACAAGATACTCTTTATTAATGAAAATAGCTAAATTTATTGAATCTGCAAATATGGAAGGATAAGCTGGAAATCTTGACGACTTTTCAAAACTAGACAAATAGCTTTAATATATAAACACACTGCCAATAAGTATAATCTTTATTTGGTTTGTGAGCACTCAAATTTACAAAAAAAATTATTTTCTAAGAAAAATGCTGAATAATTTTCTTTAAAAAATGTTTTCGTATATAAAACCATGATAATGACGTTCAGTTAACGTCGAAACTTCGTGTAATATTATGTTTTTTAGTAAAGTTTTATCTCTTAATTTTATCTTAAAATAAAACCATTATGCTGTAAAATTACATTTCAATTAAGAAGAGACTTTTAACTTTTGTGCAGCAGCAGCAAATGATGGAATGCAGAAAGCATACCAAGCTCTTGGACTGAATTACACTACTGCAAGCAAAGTGGGACACTTCCCACCACTAGGTAATAAACAACCTTCAAATTCTTATAGTAATTATATAAGTATAACGACTGCTTCAAGCATGATTATCAGTTATGTTAACCAGGCTGGTTTTGTGTTTAGGTATTGGAGACAATAAATCATTTGGTGAAACGACTTCTGGAACATCAAGGTAAATAAGAACAACTAATTTAAAGTTTTGTAGTAGTAGTAAGTAGTATGGGTTAAATGTGTAAATGTTATAATGCATGATGTTGCAGCTATCCTTGTAAAGGTTATCTTGAAATTTTACCTCAGTCATACCTTGTTTCTGGCTCAATATTAATTGTCAAAATGACCAGCAAGGTAAAAATTTGACCAGCAAGGTAAAGACTTGACTAGACAAGTTTCAATTCTGGCCGAACATTGCACATTAATCGACAGTTGTTTTTAGCCCTTGTACTGTATTAATTTTTTTGTCATTCTCCTTTTGTTATTATCATTATTATTATTATATAATCAGAACATTATAAATCAATGAGTTATTGTTGTCGTTTTAAACAGCATTGGGTCAGCATCTGACAGAGGACCAAAGGAATGGCACCAACATGTGACACCTGATTTGAGAAATCACCTAGTTCATAAACTGTAAGAAAATATCTTGAAATATATATCTTTTGAAGACTTATGTTCTCAAATTTTTCATTCTGGGTGTGAAAAAAATGCTATGAAAACCTTTTTTTCTTTTTCACATTTCAGGGTTACTGCAATCTTTCCTACTCCTGTTAATGACCCAACTGCATTGAAAGATCGTCGCATGAGCAACTTACTAAATTATGCTCGGAAAGTTGAGGGAGACATGTATGAAACTGCTAACTCCAAGGTAAATATTATCATTCATTAGGATACAGAAGCACATTTAGTTCAACCATTAATAGCTGAATAGGTATATGATAGTTTATATTTTTGATATTCGTAGGAGGAGTATTACCATCTTTTAGCAGAAAAAATCTATAAGATTCAAAAAGAACTTGAAGAAAAGAGACAAAAAAGATTAATCCTGCAAATGAAGACACTACAGCCTGGTACTTCTCAAATCCCTCAAGGTATGTCATTATAAGTAGTTCCATTTGTCACAGGGACCTTGCAATTACAAAAGTTGAAAACATTAAGTCAATCTCAAATAATTCTTTGTTCGAAATTTATTGAATACAAAATTAATTATTCATGAAGTCATTGATTTATTTTTTGTTTTTGTTTCATGTTACAGTACCATTTCATCAGATGAATGGCGACCAAACAAATAGTCAACTAACATCTGCCCAGGCAACGGCGTTGAAAGCTGCACAAATGCATCGCCAGCCACACTTTACAGATCTTCTTAACCAAGCTTCAACACCAGCACAACAATCCCCAGCAACTGCAGCTCTTCAAGCCATGCCAATGGTTTCTCAGTCTCAATCTCCAGGTGCCATGTCCCCACAAGTTCCTGTTCAGGCGCAGGTCCAACCTTCCAAACCACCACTACAACCTCAAAGCCCAGCTCAGACACCAGCACAAAATCAAACTCAAAATCAAAATCAAATGCAAACATCCCAAAGCCAAGGAAAGCCTCCGGCCTCCCCTGCACAGGCAATCAGTCAGGCAAATGATAGTGTTATGTCACACTCGCCTTGTTCTTCTGGGAAGGGAAATGGTCCTTCAAGCCCTTGTAAAACACCATCAAACATGGGAAAGACTGAATCTGCTGATAAGATGATGCCGACTTCACCTAGTATGACCCAGTCACAAAAACCGGTAGGTTTAAGATATATTGAGTTGAAAATGTAGTAATGTTATAAATTCATTTACTTAAATGATTACATTAAATGTTGACAAATATCAAAAAAATAAATACACAATCCATGACCTATGCAATACAAACACTTCTGTGGTTGTTGCTCATTGCTGGAAAGAAGAGAGTAAACAATATTAAACTAGTTATTTGTTGTTTTTTAATTAGATGTCAGAGATGAGTAAATCACCACAGCCTACAACTTCATCTGCATCATCTACTCCTCAGCCAGAGGATGTGAAGCCTCAGGTCTCTTCATTAGCACAAACCACTCAACCAACTGTCACACAGACACAGACACAATCAACACCAACAACAACAAGTCAGGCCTTAGCTCTACCTGGACCATCAGTCAGGTGTCCATTCAAGAAAGGTAGGTTTGCTGTGGCACAGCACTTTATATTTGCATTGCAATCTTTTATAAAAATGTATCTTTCAAGGGTTATACCAGCCTCCAAATCAGRAGAAAAAACACTTGATTCTATGACTAGTCTATACAGTTTTGGAATGAGACAAGGTAGCAGTGACTGAAAAAAAGATTCCAACAAAAGATATAATGAGTATCGATGTTATTTCGATCTTTTAGGTTTAAATAATTGTGATGTGTTTATATCAAGAATAATATTGGCAACTATATTTTCATGTTGCCATTCATGGTAGAGCTTATGTTTCCCATGGATGTTAATCATAATTATTTCTTCTATATTGCTCTTTAACTCTTTTTATTTTTGTTACAGTATTCTTACCAGAAGAGCTTCGACATATGCTTGTTCCAATACTAGAAAAGCTATACAAGCAAGAACCAGAAGCTCTGCCTTTCAGGACCCCTGTAGATCCCAAACTTCTTGGTTGTCTGGTATGTAACACTTTTTGTTTTATCCAGACATTGGAAATTCTTTTATGGCATATTTCACGATTGCTTCAATGTGCTTTAAATTTATGGCAAGCGTAGGACATTACAGGCTGTATATGAAGGTGTATTAGCAGCTTATTCAGCTTACAATCATGAGTGAATTGTTAGGGCCCTTTCCATTAAGTCGAACTGACTTCTGAAATGGTAAGACCTTGGCTAACTAGTTCTAAAGAACTGATGCATACTTTTTGAGAACTGGCTGCTCAGACTGGTAGGTTAAACCTAATGGAAAGTATTCTTAGGAAAGTATTTAGGGAAGCACCGGTGGCGTGCCCTACTAATGCGCCACCTCTCACCAATGCGGCTAGAGTTCCAGTCCTACCGATCTCAATGTCGTATATGAGTAGAGTTGTTTGTTGGTTCTCTCCTGTGCTTTGAGGGTTTTCCAGGTTCTCCGGTTTTCCTCCCTCCACAAAAATCAACTTCTAAACTCTAATTCGATCTTTGGGCTTTCACTTAGTTTGGAACCTAGCTCTGTTGTGATTGTCCCACTCTGTGATACAACAACAAAAAGCTTTGTAGATTTTAGATTCTTAGAATATAAATTGTGTGCCTCCAAAATGGGACAGACTGTTGAAACAGGATTACACGAATAATCACAGCTTCCTTTATGCCCCCTAAGTCCTACATTTTCTCTCTAAAGTCTTTAATTTAATGATGTCAAATCTTATATGTTATGAGCCATAAAAATATCTTGACAAATTGTGTTTTTTTAAGGATTATTTTGATATTGTCAAGCATCCAATGGATCTTTCTACTATAAAAAGAAAACTAGACACAGGACAATACAAGGATCCATGGGAGGTATGTAAAACGTTAATAAAAACTATCAGAGATCATTTTCATATTATTATGAAATACTACTTAAATAATTTCAGACTCACTAACTGGCGTTAACCTCATTTTAGTGCTTAAATATCCATCTAATAGGTAAAGAGAACACAACTTTAACAATCCAAACACTGACATTCTACTTCCATTCCATGTAGTAATATGCAAATATTCTACATAAAATTAATGAAGGCTAACCATAAACAAAGAAACTGTAGAATATTTTTTCCAATTAGGCAAATTTCCAACTATTAAACTTTACTCTTTTTTAGTACTGTGATGATGTGTGGTTGATGTTTGAGAATGCCTGGATGTATAATCGCAAGACTTCTAGAGTTTATAAATACTGTACAAAGGTAAAAAATAGATATACTTTGTGTGCATTTCACCCATGTGGTATCCTGAAAAATACCCCCCCCCCCCTCCCTAGCAAACCTAATATCTTTTGTTCTCCCTACCTCCTTAAATTTTTGATGAAAGAATTAGTGCCCCCTCCCTCAAAATCTACACAGCCCTCCCTGCAGCCCATAAATAACAGTTCCTAAAATAATCCCATGGATTTGTTTCTGTACTTGCCTATTTTATGTGCTGCAGTTCACAATTTGTTAATATAATATTTCAGAGGTATCATGTATATTGCATAAATAAATCTGAATGAATGAATTTTGAATTTTTATTTTGTTCATAGTTGTCTGAAGTGTTCGAACAAGAAATTGACCCTGTGATGAAATCCATGGGATATTGTTGTGGTAGAAAGGTAAAAATATAGATCTACATGTTTTTGTTTTGTAATTAACAAATTTATTGTAGATTTGCATTGACTGTCCTCTTATTGATCATAGATGACGTCTCAAAATGATCAAGTGGAATCATGAGCGCAGCGAGCCAATCAGATTGCGAGAATTTGCTGTGTTATTGTAAAAAGTAATCTTGAATGCTGGAGATTCATATTTGCTAAATCTCCATATTTTTATTTTCACAGTATGTCTTCCAACCTCAAGTTTTGTGCTGCTTTGGAAAGCAGTTGTGCACAATATCAAGAGATACAATATATTTTACTTACCAAAATCGGTAAGACCTTATAATATGGAAATACTGACCAGAACCATTGGCACATCATTAAACTATTAAAAGTAATTTATACTAATCTTACAGTGAAGACACTCAAAAATTGTAAACTTAGAATTTTTTTTCGATTTAAAAAAAATGCATACTGTTAATCATGCCTTGAGTCAATACATTGAAAATTATATTTATTTTGTTAAACTCAATATTTCATTTATAGAGGGTTTGAAACAGAAAATAATAACCCTGAAAAAAGAGTTCATGATTCGAGTGAACTCAAATTCCTCAATGGAATGTCTGCAGAATTGAGCAAAAATCCTGAAAACTGATTATGAGTAAGATCTGGGCCTGGTTGTACAAAGGATTGTACAAAGGTGCCCTATCCAGTAGATAATTGTATCCAGTGGATGATGATGCTGTTATCCACTAGATAAGATTTATACAATGGATAATGCTATCCAACCTTCTTATGACCAGGCCCAGACAGGTAAAAGTGGGCGATCCTAAAATAGAATTGAGGCTGAGTAATTTTTATAGCTTTATTCTTCGTACCTTAGAAAGAGTATGATCTAAGTCATTTTCTAAACTTACCTATTAATAGATATAACTTTATTATTTGATTCATTTACTTTCAAGGTTTCACTACTGTGAGCGGTGCTTTAGTGAAATTGAAGGGGACACTGTCAACCTTGGTGAAGACCCTACGCTACAGCAAAGGTAATTATGAATAATTTATAATCATCTTAAATAGGATGATGATAATGGCGACTTTATTTCAAGAGAGATGAGACGTATTAACTTATATGAATTATCTTACATACAGCCTTTGGGGGGGAAATTAAATTAAATCAAAATCGTGTACAGATAAATGAACGACTAATTAATACAACTAGGAAGAAATCTACGATAATTATAAGCAATCACAGCTCGGGATTATATTATATTGACCTAAGAAGCAAGCAGTTACTTCAGCTTTACAGCGGTCCAAACCTCTGGGGCCATGAAAACAACCTTGCCTCCAATCTATCATGGAAGCTCAGAAGAGTACAACACATCAAACAATATAGGTCTATTCATCGTAATTCATGCAGGGATTAAATCAGTGGCTCAACCCTGTGGGCCAGAGAAAACATCCTTGCCTCCCATTCCAGTAGAATGCTGGAATGTGAAACAGTTTGACCATAGCATGACTTGTCTATTCCATAACGTTTTATTCTTCCTGACATTTTCTATGGAATATTCGTTATAATAATTCAAATGATCGCAACAATAATCTTGCACTTTTCTTTTCAAAGTACCATTCCAAAGTCTCAGTTTCAAAAGCTGAAGAATGATCATTTGGATATGGAACCGTAAGTAACTGTTTCTTAATAAGAAACTTTTATTTGAGATGAAATTATTATTATTATATGAGAATACAAAGTATAAAAACAATTCCTTGCCTTGTTTTGGAAAATTGTTACTTGTTAAAGTTTGGTAAGCAATTTTATGTGATATTCAATGGCATCATTGAAGTCTACACTCTTCATTAGAACTTATTCATATTTGTTCTGTATCTGAATATTTCATGACGGGCCACAAAACACAATTTCAGTAAAATTGAAAAGCCAGTTTTAATCATATTTGAAGAGGAGGAGTGCAATAATTTTTTTTGAATTCATATCAAAAGAATTTCATGGCCCGTCATGTACCTTAAATTCTGGATGCAATCTTGAGAAAACAGTCAATTAAAATAATATTCCATTCTTGTAGGTTTATTGAATGTATTGACTGCGGTCGCAAAGTGCACCAGTTGTGTGTACTACACAATGACTATATCTGGTCTACAGGGTGAGTAATAATACTCTTTATTTAGTTTGTCTCCATCTTAGTTACACCCAACAGACTAAGACCTGGAAAACCCAAGCCTTACATACTTGAGTAGTTTGTAAATAGATCCCTTGCAGTACGTCAGAATGCAGCTCAATTTGGAGGACATAACAATAGGTTTCCAATTCTCATAAGATTGAAATTTTTTTGTTTTGTCATCCAAATTGAGCTGCATTCCAACATATTGCAAAGGGTCTATTAGAAAAACTGTGTAAAAACTGTGTAAACACAGGGGAGGGGGTATGCAGGGGTACCCTGTGACCTCTCCTTAAATCTGACTTGTACTGCTGGATAAATTGATTGACCAAAGCTAAGAACCCAGAGGTCTCAAGTCATAGATAGTTTTCTGGGTCATGTAATTAAAGGTATTTTCAATATTAGCCAGGATTCTAATATCTATTCCTAAAACTAGGTATCAGTGTGATTCTTGTCTTGAGAGAAGAGGTATAAAGAGAAAAGATAACAAGTATACGGCAAAGAGTAAGTTGCTTTTATTTTCTTACTTTAGTTTAATCATCACCTTTGTGATTTTAATCCCAATTTTGTATCTGTTTTCAACAATGAAGGGCTACCACAAACAAAACTTGGAGATTTGATTGAAAGAAGAGTTACAGGTTTCCTACGAAAACAGAACTGCAATGCTGAAGTTACGATACGTGTTGTTTCAAGTGTTGACAAGGTTGGAGAACTAAAGCCTGGAATAAAGACAAGGTATTAAAATATCATGATTTTATGTGTTATTTAGTAAAACACAGAAGGTTTAAACTCAGTAGCAGATCCAGGGGTTGTTTCGTGGTTGCCATGGAACCCCCATTTTGTTAGATCTTACAAAGCCAATCATGTTTTTATGCTCAGTAATATAAAATTGGAACCCCCTTTGTTAAGCCAATGTTACCTGCTTTTTCTAGATGGCAGCCATTTTGGAACCCCCCTTTTAAATTCCTTGATCCACCACTCCCTCTTCCAGTTCTGGTCCTCTCTTTAATTCTTGCACCCACCATAACAGTGCTTTCCTTCAAAATTCTCTAGTTTTCGTGCCTCTGCAGAAATATAGATTTGGTCATGAAAATTAACCTAGCTGTGAAATCAAAGCAGTTTATCTATTTTATTTATCATAGCAGCAAAGAAATCTGGTTTATGGATGTGTGTCTATTGCCACTTTGATTTAGTTTTGATTCTCAGACGAACTATAATGTTATTTTCATTGTGTATTAGGTATGATGGACAGCTGCCAGATAGTTTTCCATACAAAGCAAAAGCCCTGTTTGCTTTTGAGGAAATAGATGGCGTGGATGTTTGTTTCTTTGGCATGCATGTCCAGGAGTATGGATCTGATTGTCAGCAGCCCAATACGAGGCGTGTGTATGTTTCATACTTGGACAGTGTCCACTTTTTCCAACCAAAGAGTCTCAGAACCGCTGTTTACCATGAAGTACTGATTGGTTATCTGGAGTATGTTGGCCAGACGGGGTAAGTGAAAGGGACTATTATCCTAGTGGTTTAAATATCAAAAAGCATGAGAAAAAAAATAGTTCAAATGATTTTCCCAGAAATAATAAAAGATTTTGAAATCATAATGATATAACATACCTAATGCATGCTATTTTTCTTTTCTGTGTCTTTTAGTTATCAAATGGCTCACATCTGGGCCTGTCCTCCCAGCGAAGGAGATGACTACATATTCCATTGCCATCCTACTGAGCAGAAGATTCCTAAGCATAAACGACTTGTTGAATGGTATAAGAAGATGTTGGACAAAGCTATCATGGATCGAGTGGTCATTGAATACAAGGTTAGAATTATGTATTAAAACGAATATTTATCTCTTAAAAAGATAGGTATAATGAATATAATTGGGTTTTAGTTCCTTTTTCGAAGTAAAAAAGCAAATCAATACTATCGGGTGTATTGTTATGTCTTCATATTTTAAAGCCTTCAATCTGTTCCTGATCACCTTACCTTTTTATAATCTCCCAACTGTAATTGTGTTACCTTGTCTTCAAATGTTAGTGGTTAATTGAATATTGTTTGTGCATTGATAGGACATCCTAAAGCAAGCAAGTGATGATGGTCTTACATGTGCAAGTGAGCTTCCCTACTTTGATGGAGACTTCTGGCCTAATGCTCTAGAAGATAGCATCAGAGAGCTTGACCAGGAGGAAGAAGAAAGGAAGGCCAATGCCGCTGCTGCTGAGGCATCTGGGAAAGAGGTGAGAACCAGCTGGCGCAGTACTGCTGGGACCCCTGCGGGGAGAGATGAAATGAGTTGCTCACTTCATAAGGTGGCAACATTACTGGGTTGGTTTTGTTTTACTTGCAACCCTTGACTTGAAACATCACATGCAGTTCTTTGTAACATTGATACAAAATTTAAGTTCAAAAAGGTTTTTGAAAGCTACTGATACAAAATATGCTTTTCCAGTTAATGTTTTTATATTACCAATCCCTTCTTACTTGGCAAATATCCCTGTATTTTCAGACGCAAGGCAGCAAAAACAAAGGTAACAGCAAGCGAAGCAACAATAAGAAAGGTTCAAAGAACAAAGCCAGTAACCGAAAGACCAGCAAGAAGATTAATGGGCCATCATCAGACCTGTGCGACCTTTCACAAAGACTTTATATTACCATGGAAAAACATAGAGAGGTAAGTATTGTTCTTGTAATGTAAACTTTTTACCATGGAATACTGGAATACCAAAGCCATCTATACTCAGTACTTATTTCTACTTCCAACTTACAATATGCAACCTTTTTTTGTAGGTTTTCTTTGTGATCAGATTGAATGGCCGCAAGACCCCAGAAACTGCTGATCCAGATCCATTGATGACTTGTGACTTGATGGATGGCCGTGATGCTTTCCTTACTCTAGCAAGAGAAAAGCACTATGAATTCTCATCTCTGCGGCGGGCAAAGTTTTCTACAATGGCCATGTTGGTAGAGCTTCATAATCAAGGACAGGACCGATTTGTTTATACTTGTAACCTTTGTAAACGACACATTGAGACAAGATACCATTGCRTTGAATGCGAGGTAAATTAGTTTGCAATTCATTAGTTTACTATTCTAATTCTGCAAATAAAGGAGAAATGTGCCCTGCATTTTAATTAAACTGTGTCCAGAAAAATAGCGCACTCAAACGGAACTGAAATTCCCTTTAAGAAAAGTCCTGATGATTAATTTATAGGGAATATAACCTGATATGTAATCATCACCTATAATTTTGTCGTGTAGGACTACGATCTGTGCGTTCCTTGCTATGATGAGAAGGGCCATGAACACAAAATGGAGCGGCTTGGTTTTGATCTTGATGTTGACCAGCAAAATCAACCAGACAAGGATGGAAAACCCAAAGGTCAACAACTCAGTGCTCAAGAAGAGAGGAGAATTAAGATTCAGAGGTGTATCCAGAGTCTTGTTCATGCAACACATTGTCGTGAAACTAATTGTACTGTGATGAGCTGTGCCAAGATGAAGAAGGTTGTTGAACACACCAAGTCCTGCAAAAGAAAGACTAGTGGAGGATGTCGTATTTGTCAAGAACTTATTCACCTTTGCTGCTATCACGCCAAGCACTGCGTGGAGCGTGAATGTGTCGTGCCATTCTGTAGACATATTAAAACCAAATTACGCCAACAACAGATGCAACAGCGATTTAACCAAGCACAGACTCTTCGAAGACGTGTTGCACAGATGCAGAGGAATACCATGCAACCACCTGGTCAGATGCCTGGTCAACAGGTACCCAACGTTCCACCTGCATTACCACAGCCTCCACATTCAGGTGTGCATCAGCAGAAACACCTTCCACCACAACAGCCTCCACCTTACCCGCAGCCACAAGTTGCTGCTCAGAAGCCCGTGGCAAGTGGTCCTCCCCCAGGAGCTGTTGCTGCTGTACAGCAAATCAAAATAGATGCCATCAAACAAGCAACACAAGGTAGACAGCCTATGACACCACAACCACAGATGCCTATGGGACAGCAGACATATTCTCCACACCCGCAGCAACAACAGCAACAACAACAACAGCCTCTTCCACCTCCTCCTGTCACCATGGGTTCCCCTACCACGTCGATGCCTGGGATGATAATGCAACAACCTCCTGCATTCATGCAACAACAAAACATGCAGGCAGCTCAAGGAGTTCCCCCAGGTCAGATGCAGAGGCCAGGAATGAGGCCAACCCTAGAACGTTGGCAGTCCATGTATCAAAATCAACAACCACAACGTCAGCCAAGTCCAGGAACTCCCAACCAAAACATGCCTGGTGGGCAACCATTCCCTCCCATGAACCCCCAAACAATGGGTAATCAGCAAAATCATATGCGACAACCAAGCATTCCACCTGCTCTACAGCAACTACTTCATACTTTAAAATCGCCCAGTAATCAACAACAACAAGCTCAAGTAATGCAAATTCTCAAGCAGAATCCTCAGTTAATACAGGCATTTGTGAAACAGCGTCAACAGCAAGTTATACAGCAACAGCAACAGCAGGCACAAGGTATGCAGCAAGGTATGCAGGGACAAGCAATGCCACAAGGTATGCAACATCAAATGCATCAAGGAATGCAACAAGGAATGCAGGGTATGCAACAGGGAATGTCACAAGGGATACCTCAAGCTATGCAACCTGGCATGCAACAGGGTATGCAGCAAGGTATGCAACCTGGTATGCAGCAGGGTATGCAACCTGGTATTCAGCAGGGTATGCAACCTGGTATGCAGCAGGGTATGCAATCTGGTATGCAGAAGGGTATGCAACCTGGTATGCAGCAGGGAATGCAATCTGGTATGCAACCTGGTATGCAGATGGGTATGCAACAAGGAATACCTCAAAATATGCCTCAGGGTATGCAACAAGGAATGCAGCAGGGGATGCAACAAGGGATGCAAACTCCAATGCAACAAATGCCTAACACAAGTCAGACAGGCATGATTAGTCAACAACAACAACAACAGTTAAATTGGTTAAGATTTCAACAAATGCAGTTACAACAGCAGCAGCAACAGCAGCAGCAGCAGCAGCAACAGAATGTCTTCCAACAGCCACAAATGGCCCCATTTTCGCAACTAAGTGCAGCAAGAAGAGCACAGCTACAGAATATGACAAACTCCCAAGCAAATATGATGCATCCAAATGGACAGGCCCAACCATCTTCATCTCAACATTATCAATCAAAGCAGAATCAAATGCCGGTTCATATGATGTCTCCACAGCCACCACCAATGTCTCCCCAACAGGGAGTACTACCTTCTCAATCTCCTCGTCCTGTAATGTCTCCACAGCCCTATCAAAATATTGTCTCCCCAAGACAACAAACAGTGTCTCCTCATCCACAGCAGTCCCTCACGTCCCCTCATCCAGCAGCATCACCTCATCAGCATCTCGACCAATCACAGCACACAGAGAAGTCGCTCTTCGTTCAACCACTGAATACACGCATGAATCTCCCTCCTCTCCAAACACCCACTGAACAAGAACTTTCATTAGGCCAGGAGGATCCTGAGACTGTTCCTCCACTTACTCCGCAAGATCAACTAACTAAATTTGTTGAGAATTTATAGTGTACATTTTAAAATGAAAGTCAACAGAGACCGTAGAGTAAGAGAGAATTTGTACTTTATACTTTGTATGTAGTTTTATGTCGGCGGTGAAGAAGGTATCAAGGACAAAGAAAATTTTCTACCATTTATAACATGATATATAATTAATTTGTATAGCAGCTCAGACTGAGGTCTGTGCAACAGACTGCGCTGCAAGGACTGAGCGGTGCAATTTTAGTTTTAGAAGAATAATTTACAGCATCCTTGGTCGCTAAGACCCTGTACAAAGCGCACGTTCTTACTGATATATATTATTGCCTAATTGACGTGCATGCGTTCTAATAAAACGTATTGGCACTTTTCAGGACGCTTGATAAAGTATGTGTTCACCTGTACATGGTACGCTATATATAGTATTCATACACTTATTTGTGGTCAGTCCTTTTTGCTCGATAAAATAACAGTACAATTGGAGGACTAAACTACCACGTCAAGATCGTGCTTACGCTCAGACATTTCACTGGCGTTATATTTTTGTTAATAATCAAGAAAGGAAGAAGTCAAAATGAAATGGATGTACCATTATGACTTGAGTCACATGTTTGGTTTTAACCAGTAGAAACGATAAAGTATTTGAAATCATGGAATTTTTTATCATCAAAATTTGAAACCGTCATACATGTGATTAGAGACATTAAACAGTTCTATACGTGATTACTTGTTATGTTGTTTAATTATGTTGTGATTTTACCCGAATAAGGCATCCGAGGTTAAGGAAAAGAAATAGTCGAGTCTGCAATGCATTGTGGGACGGTTCTAGTAGACATGGACGCCATCTTGGAAATATGTTCACTAAAACAGCCCCACAATGCACTGCAATGCCATCTATACACGGTCTTTTCCTTAACCTCGGAACCGCCAGTAGAATGCCGATGAATCACCGTTAGTTTTACGGCAAGGTATTGGAGGATGTGGGTTATAGTACAATTACAGAACTCTTGGTGATTGTATAGTGTTATTTTATTACAGCATTCAGCTCGACAAAAAAGTTGCTTGGGCTCTGTCGCTGGTAAAAGCTCAGGAAATTTATCAAACTAGTGAGATTGGACGAAGTACGGGAGGAAGGTACTGCAGGCTTGCGGCCCCTTATTTAATTTGCATAAATAAGCGTATTGCAAAATTTTACGCTTGGATCGTGCTTAGAGGACTCTGGTTCGCCTGTGAATCTAAAAAAAATCCAAATACCTTTGTTTAAAATCTGGGATGGCACAAGAGAAGTTAGAAAAGCTTTTTTGGCGGATTCCTTTGCGCACTCTTTTCAAAAGAAAGGTTGAACTTCGAATTGATTACGATCTCATAAAATTAAAGCTATAAATGATAAAACGATCTCAGAAGGTACTTAGCATGGAACTTGTTGAATGTATACCGGGCTCAGTTTTGTACTTTATAGGTAAAATTAGTGATTCATTAAACTGGAGGGGCGGGCATTTGACCACTTCGCGGGGCCTGAACGGTGGAGCATTTGATCATTTAATTTTCTTGGCCCGCATCGGGTAGGGAATTTTTTTTCAAAAAGTCAAATGGGGGGGGGGGGGGGGGGATGGGAACCTTTGGAATTGACTCATACATAACGTTTAATTTCAAATACATAAATTTTAGTTGGTCACTCTTCTAAACCGTTTATATAGATAAGTCCGGTTATTTGTGACCCCACGTCCCCATCATCCTAATAGTAATAATAATAATACTTTATTCAATCAATAAACAACATAGCGCAGCTATTTTCGCTCAACAATGCTCAGCAATGAAAAAAAAACAATGCAAAAGCAGTAGAAAACCATATCCTAACGACTGTTATGGACGCTTGCGCCTTGGCTTCCTGATTTGTCGTCACTCTTCTACATTCCATCGATCGTCCGCTGCAAACTCTCTCGCGGGCTCAAAATGGACTTCCGCTGACCTCAAAGTTGGCAGACTCTGACATTTTCTGAAGTAGACAGACCAGCATTGAAGTCGTGTTAAATATTTTAGGATTTGCTTGTAAAACATGTTTCAGATTCCTGGGTCAGCTCAATCACCTAGCAAAGCTAGTATAGAAGAAGAAAAGAAGGTCGCGAAGAAAGCCGTATGGACGACTGTTGAAGTGTTTGTGGCATATGTAGCTATTCTACGAATTGGTAAGCTGCTTTCCACGTGATCTGATAAACTTTTAGATAAAATCAAGTTTAACTTCATAGTTACACAAAACTTGATCAAAGACTGAGTGATTAATATCATGTTTTGCAGCATTAATAATGCCTAAGTATACGCACCTGCAGTACAGATTCTGCAAACTTACTTTGTGGAGGATGTGACGTCATAGCCGCCATCTTGATTCACAACCACAGGCTAACCAGTCTGATAAAAGAAAAAAACATGAATATTTGTTTGGTTCTATCACTAAAAAAGCTCTATCTCGTCTTTTGCTACATGCAGAATGTAGTTTAAAATCTACCAGTTTTGTCTGTAATCACAGAGTGGGACAATCACGAACGGAACCCTCAGATCCATGCTAGGTGAAAGCCCAAGATCGAATTGGAATTTTAGAAGTTGATTTTTGCGGAGGGAGGAAAACCGGAGTACCCGGAGAAAATCCCTCGAAGCACAGGAGAGAACCAACAAACAACTCTACTCACATGCAAAACCGAGCACGGCGGCGCTCGAACTGGGGTCGCATTGGTGAGAGGCGGCACATTAGCAGCGCACGCCACCTGTGCTTCCCATAAATAACAAAAGAATTTGGTTGCCAACCATTTTTCAAAAAGGTCTTCACAGTTCCTTTGTTTTACCAGGCATTTCTGGTTGGTGCATGTATGGCAATCGGCGATTGCTTAATGTATCACATGAAGTGTCGTTCCCTTCTGGCAGAGGCTAGCATTTTCTTCCAGCAAAAGAAAGAGAAAAGGAGACTCTGTCAGCAGAGAAATCATCCTCTGAGTCTGGAAGCATTTTCAAGAAAACCAAAATAATGTTTATTTTATGAAACTTGGCAAATTTACCAATATTGATATAGAAGAATTGATTATGATCTCCATTTTTTGCAAAGCAATTTTCCAAAACACTTCACCAGTATAAAATTAATAAGATCAATTATTGATTGATAAGGGGCTGGCTGACAATAAAGTATGTGTGATTGGCAAAATTACAAACTGCAAGCAGTCCCACTTTTCCCTTATACTGACTCTGACAGTAAAGACGGGTGTTTTAGGATTCCTGTGGACGTGTGCAGAAATTGGAGCCAAGTAAGCAGCTGAGTAAGCGGAGTAGGGAGAGGATCCAATCTCAGTATATGTCCACAGAATCCTGAAACGCTTGTCTTTATTGAGTCTGGAGAGAAAAGGGTGACTGCTTTCAGTCTAGCAAAATGACTCATAATAATTATTTTATTTTATTTTCTATTCAGCACCATATGTTTATGATATGATAGCATAAGGAATACTTGATTTGTCTGTGCTCGATGGCAACATGCTGTACTCCCTAAGATGATACTTTACTGTACATACATGGATGGATATATCTACTGTTTATAAATGGACATTGTGATGTGCTTATATATGGCTTGTGGAATAAGCTTTTCTGCATTTTTCTTTACCTGGTTTTGACTTGGTTCTGTCAAACATTTATACTAGTAAATGATAGAAAGTTCTTGATTTATATTAATATTATCTTGAATGTACTGTGCATTTCTTTCTATGTATTCTTCTATATGGTCTTCTATATTCTGGATGTTAATCAGGCTCGAAGGAAATAATTTCATTAAAAAATGATACTAAGCATCAGTTCAAATTAATTTTCAAGCATATTTAAACAAGGTCTAACTTCTAACACATCAGTGTATTACAGCTGTTTTAAGTTGGTGAAAGTTTTGTTACATATTGGATATATTTTTTACAACCACTACTCCCTGTGTGGGGCCTTTTCCTGTTCCCCTCACATTCACTACCATTACGTTACTTATTTACAGCATACAACGCTCAACTTACATGTTGATTTTTATAGAGGGAGGACACTGGAGAACCCAGAGAAACCCCATGTGGAAAGTGAAAGAACAACACATTGATAAAGGTAGCACACTACAAGTAAAAGCCAGCAGCTTGTAAATTGATGGCTTTCATTCCATGATTTAAAAGGAATTCAGAAGTGGTTTTTCCTCTTTGAGTAGGTAGGAAAATCCACCAATGCCTGCCGTGAGACCCCTTACTGATGTGTACAGGGGAGGGGAAGGGAGCTAGATTGATGAAGATGGAAGGCAAATTAATACAGACAATTATCCACAGAGAGCTGTGCTTGCATCTAGTTTTGTTTGGTACAACTGTTTTTAATATCTTTGAGAGAGGTGTGCTATGATATTACACAACCTGGTAATGATATATATTTACAATACACTAAATTTACTGTGTGATGGTTTTGGCTCGTTAGTAATCTCACTATTTTGAAGATTTTTCATTACAGCAAGCCACTACTCAGCATGCAATATTTGGTATTCGTAATAAAACATTTCAAAAGCAGATGCATGTAAATAAACTCAGACTATGCTGAGGCTTTGCACCATCTTGTGATGGCAGCCATGACACGAGGCACAATGTTCAACAGTCCTGTTCCCCTGAGAAACTGAATTATTTCTTATGTAAATCAGATTTGACCAGAATCAATTGTTTCTGCTTCCTGTCATGGCTGCCACACAATGATAATGTAGCCCCTATTAGCCATGTTTTAAAAAGCACATTTTTTTAATGCGAAAAAAAAAGAACATTTCTTGTTTAATCTTTTTCTCATTTTTCTCCTATAAACTAAAATCAGGGTTCGTGCTACTCCTTGAAATCCTTGAAAAGTCCTTGCTTGAAAAATTAGGGAAAAACGCCAAGACTCCTGGAATACTCCTTGAATTTAATGCAAACTTAATGCTATTTCTAACTTTCCTTTTGAAATAACAATTAAAATTGATTGAAGAATTTTCGTATATTTTGTAAATAGCCTAGCTGAATATCTGGGTACTTCTGGTAAGAATGCGTAAATTAAAGATCTATTTATCTGTAACATTGAATCAATGTTTAAACTATTTTCTAATACAAAAAACTTTGTCCTTGAAAATCGAATTTTTGTGCTCGAGAAGTGCTTAAAAAGTCCTTGAATTTTGTAACGAAAATATAGCACGAACCCTGTAAAATATAAGACATCTAACAGTGGCAAATGCAGCTCATGTTCAATCACTTAGGGACTTCAGGTTTATGAGTACATCTATTTTGTATTGATTGTTTTTGGCAAAAGCAGAGAATGTCTCTGCATAAAGTATATCTGTCAGGCATAAACTAAAGATATTCCTCAGACGTTCTTGGCTTCACAAAACACTTCACTTGTCAACTACATGATCCAACAAATCCAACTTGCCTGGTAATTCAAAACATGTTAGTTAATCCATGGTTTATGTTTCCTCTGACTGTAAGAACGCGACCTTTGCTTCATCGTCATATTCACTCCTGAAGAAAGAATAACAGTTTTACAATTTAAAAAATAACAGTTGGCAATTTTAAAAAATAAGAAAATAGCTACATTTACTCACTCCTTGTTGAATGACATGGAAACATGCTTTTTGATTCCACCAGCTTTCTTTGCAAGGCAATACACAGTACAGGTTATAATAATAGTTAGAAAAGCAGACATGCCAACTACCAGTCCAATCCAATGCTGCTCTGCCAATTTTCCTAAGTGAAGAAAGGAAAACATTCACATTTTGATATAACACATATGTAGGGGCCCAGTGCATGATTTTATTTTATCCTTTTATTTATTTATTAGCTTTACAACTAGTAATTATTTAAAAATAAACTATTAAAAACACTAATGGAGTGAAAGAACAACAGGGCAAGAGCCCCATATAAGGTTCCTCCAAAATAACACCTTGCAAACACTTAATACTAATATAAAAAACATTAAAAACAGAAAAATACTGACATATCTATATCAAAAACTAAGAGCAGTAAGTGATGTTGTATTAGCGGCATTTATAACATTATGTCTTCCAAGTTCTAGTTCTGTCAACGTCAAATGTGTAGTTTGGAAAAGTAGTGTCTGTAAAGAAGACGTTTGGAATTAAGTTTTTGTAGAAGAGCAATTACGAATTGAGGACAAAGCTACCTCACCTGCATATTTCACAAAGTTCCTTCCTCCCTTGTTTCTGTTTGAAGAATTCACCTCGAAGAAACTAACATTGGTAGCTTTCAGAAATACATCATCCATCCCATTTTTAATTGCATGTAATATATGTTTCCATTTCTTGTTTGGGTGAGCGTCATTACCAAAGGAACCAAAAATAAACATGGATCCCTTCTAAAAAGAGCAAAATGAAATTAATTTACATCCAAACTAGTCATATTTTATTTGATCTTTATCCATCATTTTGATTTCTATGATCAGAAACATAACATTAAAGTGCAAATACCAGTAAGTGACAGAGGTATATATGTGTTTGGCTACATTGATATGATGCTACATCGACTGCCACAAATAATTAGCAGTATCACCTAGAACTGATCTTTTAGTCTGTGGACTGGAGAATTAGAATTTCCATGGGGGTGGGAGGAAGGGCCCAATTCAAAGAATGATATATAAATATTCCAGGGCCGTAACTAGGGGGAGCACAGGGTGCACGTGCACCCCCCAACAGCCCAACAGTAGCGTAGTGAGGGGTGGGCACAGGGTGCACGTGCACCCCCCAACAGCCCAACAGTAGNCAACAGCCCAACAGTAGCGTAGTGAGGGGTGGGCACAGGGTGCACGTGCACCCCCCAACAGCCCAACAGTAGCGTAGTGAGGGGTGGGCACAGGGGGCACGTGCCCCCCCCCCCTCCAATTTTTAAACAACTTTTTTGAAAAAAACAAAAAACGAAAACAAAACATATTAAACCAAAACAAAAGAGGAAAATAAATTATTGCAACCTAGAAAAGTGTGCTGTATAAATCAGTTTATACGAATATGAATTTGTTTCTCTTTTGTTTGCCCATTTATTCGTTTATCTGTCTTATGGGGGGAGGAGTTTTTTTTGGGGGGGTCAGTGCCCCCCCAGCTCCTAGGTCTTCACTTCACCCCTGCCCCCCAATAAAAGCTTAAGGTCCGCTCATCTATCTACTTTTTTTTCGGTTCTGGTTTTTTTTTCGGTTCTGCAAATCAATGTCTGTACACCTCCCTGCAAGATCCCTGGTTCAACACTGAGTTGGTAATAAAAACTGATCAATGGTCCGATTTTATTCGATGTGCACCCTCCTTGTAAAAGTTCTGGTTACGGCCCTGTATTCTGATGCTACATCGACTTTGTTTATATACTTACTTTAATTGACTCTATACCCAATAATATAACATAATATCCTTACTTTAATTGACTCTATACCCAATAATTATAGCAATGCATTAACATAGCGCAGTTCTCTATCAACCAATCAGAGCATCGAAGGGAACTATATTATAATAAGGGCGAGGCATGGTAAAGGTCTGGAACTTTGAATCTAACCTTTATTATGACATCTTCTTTGTTTTTGGTATCCAATTTCCGCCATACAATTGCTGTGAGCATTTTGTTCTTGCTGTCGTACATTGTTTTGATCAGGTTCTTTGGTAAATGATAATTCTGTATCTTGTCTTTTCGAAGTGTTCCTTTTTGAAAAGTATTGCAATCCTTGAAAATTAGATAAAATATAGCATTAAATTTTGTTCCAAGACATTAATCACATTCCTTGAAAAATACCGGTAAAATACAGCATTACTACCATTATCATTGAAGTTTGACCCACAAAATTTGATATCAATCTCGTTCGCCAACTAGGATTCCACCAACGGTCGTTAAAAGGTTAGTTGGCAAATGAAACATCTAACTTTGCTGGTTGCACTTCAATGAAGGGGGGAATTTGATATTGAATTTTGCCTATTGTGTCAGTTCGTGACAATAATTCAAGACATTATTCCCCTATTCACAAGGGGAATTGAAAAGAAATGGGAGAATATGCTAGCTCACAGGGATGGTAGAAGACTTTACAAAGTGTGTGTTTGTGTGCTGGTGGAGGGAGGGGAGGGTGGGCTGGTTAATCTCTGTTTTTCTTCTTCTTAATGGAACTCAAACTAAAAGAAAATAAAGTGGCATAATTTCTAGAGTGCCCCCAGCCTCCCCCCTTCCCTGTCTCATTAAAAAAAAATTTTTTTTCTTGGTTACTGATAAGTTTACCCTAACCTTTGTGCACCCTTATTTAAGTAACTGGTCCATCTGACCTCTTTTCGTTAATGCTTCATCCTCCCAACACCATCTTTTTATGATGGTACTTTATCACTTTGCATAAAAGTCCGACAAACGCTCCAATATTCGATCCAACATGTATATTACGCCAACATTTTGTTGGGTGAAATGTTGGATCCGTTTGTATGTCAGGGCCTTAAAAAACCAAATCTTTAAATTTACCTAATTATGGATTAATTTTTTAACAAGTCGATCAATACACTTATAATATTATTATATAATTATTAGAAAATAGGTTCTTACTGTAACATTCCAGGTATATGTTTTATTGTTTCCACTGTTTACTATTTGCCTCCAGACGACGAAAGCATCTGCACTGGTTTCTTTGACAGCTTTAGGTGCATTGCGTTTTTGAGGTTCAAATCCAATAAGAAACCAGCCGGTTTCGCCGATAACAGTCTTGACCTTGAATCTGATAGTCTCTTTTCCTGGGTGTATCGTCCAACTGATATTAAGGTTTTTATCGAGGTTCAAGACGCCTTGATTTTGCTGGTGATCACGACAAGTACAAAGAGAAAACAACAATGATGCTGCAAACATCCACAATATGGCATTTTCCATGTTGCAATTTAAAAATTGTGCAATTCTTTTCAAGAGGACAGCTGTGGATACAGCGAAAAAATTAGAAGAATAGAAGAGCTGCAGCTCTAAATAAGATTCAAGGAACAATTCAAGATGTCCAGTATAATCTTTGAGCTTTATCTTTTGTGATATTATTTCTTGCGATGTTAGAAACCCGTTAAAAAGTCTGAAGCACTAAAGTGGTTTTCTCTCCAAGGTGAATTAGAAAAAAAACCCCTAAACTTGGCTTCTCTTCTCTTCTTTTCTATATTCTCCTGCTCTCCAAACAGCTCGAAGTTAAAGACGTACGTATCTCTTTTATGCAAATTATCAGTTAATCCCTTCAAATGAAATTGCATATTTTATTCAAATGACCAATTTTCTTTCAGCTCAGAATCAGCTGATGAGCGCTAACATCAGAAAATAATAATGCAACATACGTTGATATATCGCTAATAATCATAGGGTATTTTTGTTTCTTTATTATCTGAAGATTTAAATATGGTATCTGATTTTTTATAAAGATATTAGTACGATTAATATAAATATTACAAATGTAGCTTAATTAAATAATTTTTGTAATGTTTTTTTCTATTGGTCAAATTTCTCCTTCAGCTCGTCCTAGTCTCTCTCATCGGATCAGGTGCCTTGGTCAGGTACAGCGTAAGGCGTCTACACGCCGGTATAAGCCAAATAATAAGGCAAAAAATGTAAATTGTTCTCATAATTCCGGGAGCATTTCTGGTCAAAAAGTATCTATCGTTGCTTTAGAAGCTAGACGTTCAAAATGAGTGACATGGAAGCAGAAGAAGACAACAATGATGTCGTGTACTCGAGCGGTGAAGAAGGTGGCCAAACGGTCATGTCGGAACGGGTATCGAATATGGCCAACAATATCTACGGAGAATTCGAGAGAATGATACAGAAATATGACCAAGATGTAGTCTCTGGTCTTATGCCATTGATGGTGTCTGTCTTAGAACAACTGGACAGTGCTTATAGTGACAATAATGAGCAACTCTTGGAGCTAGAAATGTTGAGCGACGACAACGAGCAGCTTATCACTCAGTACGAGAGAGAGAAACAGTTGCGAAAGCTAGCGGAAAAGGTATCTCGATTTTAACTCATTTTAAAAATATTTGTGAACCTGGTAGTATTATAAAACCAAACAATGATTTTGATTTAAGAACATTTTTTTATTTTAACCTTTAAGACAAGGAAAACCATCATATTTGTGCTCGAAAACTGTCAAACTTAAATTTTACACTCACCATACCGGACCTCTGTCAAAATCTCACTGAAAATAAATTTTAAAGCAAAATATTGGAAAGTAAGGCGTCAGCCAATTTATTCCTTCAGTGTGGGAGGATCTTTATGTTAGCAAAAATTGTAGGTGTTGGCTGGCAAACTCGTGTTTTTCTTTCTGTCTTCCTTCATATCGTTTGTAATGCTTTCAGTATCCGGTGATAATGATGGTGATGGTTTAGAAAATCATTGTTGCTCACTACACGAGTTTGCCAGACAATAAGCCAAGTCAAGGAAGCGATTCATATTTATGCAATCCTATATGGTTAATGGCAACAATATTTTCAGAAAATGAGCTAGTGTGGCAAAGAATTTTTATGATATAGTTTGTTTACATGGCTTTACAATAAGCGTGTATCGCTATCTTATTGCATCTGGTTATGTAGTAAGAATGTGAAAGACAGTTGGTAGAGCACGCGATGTGTACCGAGATTACTCGTGGTGTCTCACCATGAAGTCTTCTTAAACTCAATAAGACAGATATTTTAACGAATGTATTTCTAGGCTGCATCTCGGTATTGTGAAATGTTTGTGTACAATTAAACAATCAGCTTTTAATCTCAGATTGTTTAAAATGGTAGCCTCTCATCAGTTAATTCACCTAAATTTCCCTTACATTACACTGCATATATATACTTCTAACGAAATGATTTTGATTTTCCCTTTTTTTAATACTCTCTAGGTTGCATCTCTAAAATTGCTCTGTAATTTTTGATATGACTTATATAATATTTGCATTCCAGTCATAATCCATTTATATCACAGCTATTGTCTCTTTTGTGTGGTAATGAATTGAGCCAGAAATAATAAGCAGTTTCATAGAATTTTAAACTGTTTTAGGTGACTTCACACAGCTAGGTTTAATTTCAAAGAGCTCTTTTTCCTTTTAAAGAAGTCTACCATTGTAGTAGAATGATTACTGAAATTTGCATGTTCAGAGGCAAAGTAAAAGGTATTCAATAGGAAGCAAGCATATCACTGATGTCACTGTCTGGTACTGTAGTTATCAGTAATTTATGCTTGATTCCTATGGAATACTTCTGATGTTACCCCTGACAAGATGTACTTTTTACTAACAAAACGTTCTGTCATGCCAAACTCAATCTATACTAAACATGTAGTTGTTTGGACCAGAGCACTAGTGTCTGGTTTATCAAAGATTCTACGAGATTTAGATTGATGTTGAAGCAGAGAGGGATATAGGCTAAGGCCCTCTCTATCTACATTTATAGATTCTCCATTTATTATGTATATACATATATATATATATTAGTACTTGATAAGCTGTTGATTTGAATGGGATGGGATATTACACTAGAATAATTGGTTTTTAAAATGAAAATAAACCACTAATGTGTTTCCATGGTGATATTAAGTAGGACAATAAGAAATAAATATAACTTATTGCTTTGTAATAAGCCATATTTCAATGCAATGCTATGAAATAAATAACTTCTATATGAAAAACTTACTACTTCAACCATATATTCTTTAATAAAAAGATATAACTAGCTAAAAACTAGTGTGAGCTG